AGGAACAAAATCGCACGTCCCATCACAGGATGAATTTTAGAGGACCCTGTAGCTCTGGTGAAAGTGTTGTGTCTTTGTCCTTATGGTGCCTTGAACAGCACTGTTGGCAAGAAAGCCCATGGTGGATGGTTTTTAATAAAGATGAATAATAAAACTGACAAGGCTCCTTAATTATAACTTCTTCTAATTACTAATATATACAAGGCTACCTGTGTGACTTACAACAGAGCTGCAGTTTTAAGGGAAAATTACCCTTTGTGGCTTTATTTGTTCTGCTGTAACCACTGCCAACATGACACTGATCATCCATGAAAGGGCACTTTTAAATCATGAAAATATTTTGCAAGGATTAAAGTGTAATAAACAGGTAAGGTACAAGTGTGCATGAATAATAGTAATAAACACTAGGATCACCACCTGACTTTTTAATCTGTAATTATACTAGTTAATATTTAGAGAGCATCCACCATGCGTTGGGCATGGTGCTAATGCTTTTACATGCACTTTCTTTAACTCCTCACAGTGACTTTATGAAGGAGGTACCACCATCATCCCTGTTTCATTTATGAGGAAACTGAGGACCAGAAAGTTCAAGTCACTTGCCAGAGGTCAAGTATGAAAGTTATTCATCTTAAATCAGAATGCCTGATAGAGAGAAAGTCTACTTTCATACAGTTAGCACTTCATATTTACCATTTCTTCTTCAAAGTAATGCTGATTACAGTGTATGACATCACGCAAAACTCGGGTAAACTTCCTTAATACTTCATATCTTAGAAACCTCAGGGAGTTCAAGGTTGAGTAGAGCTGAAGAGAGCTTATGGTTATGAGATGACAACTTCAGGACTTGCAGGGTCCTTGACAAGCTGGCCAACACCTGTGGGTCAGTTGTCTGTGAGTGTTAGGACCTCACCACCATGTCACAGAAAACAATTTATGGAAAACCATGCAATGCAATCTCTAGTTCATTCCTTGATAGTTCCTTGAGAAATTAAATTCTTGCTCCACTTTTTAATGGAACAAGTGGGGTACTGCAGTGGTTTCACCCTGTGTCAGCAGTGTCAGGTTGATGAGATAAGAGGGAAAGGTTATGCAGAAAAAATACAGCCCATTTTGACAGATGGTGGGATTGTGAAGTTTAAGTATATGGGCAGCATGGGTAAGGCAGGGACTTAGGGTTCCAGTGAGTATATCATTCTCCTATATTCAAGTAAAGAATATTCCTTGATGTTTAAATATCCTTGATGTCTGTCTACTGGGGGAATATGCTGAACACGTAAGAGCTCGTTAGTTCAGAAGGAATGCTTTTTCTGAATTCTTGGTCAATCTGGAATCCTTGTTGACGACCCTGGTGTCTGACTCCTTTTTCTAAGTTACATGGCACCTGAAGGGACGATGGTATTTGTGAGGGATGGGTACTAAATATGATACTTACAGGAAACAAAAAGCAGTACCTTTTTTTTCTTGGCAGTTTTCAGTACTTTAATCCAAACAGTACCTCTTTTTAATAGTAAAGATGATATACCATCTGTGAATACAAGTAGTTCTACTTGCTATAGAAAGGAACCCATCACAGCTGTTGCTCTTATAAGCATTACTTTTGTACTATTTGATTACTGCTGGGCTTGATGTTTCTTCCAGTAATGCATTTGAGGTGGCGAATGGGTGGAAAAAAGTGTATATATCCTGAACGGTAGTTTACAAATAGAAACACACAGGCATGTGGAAGAAACTCTGGAATTCTCTTTAAATTTGTGCTCTAGCATACTGTACAGAAATGGGGGAGAGACACTGGGAGATACAGAAATGCCTTCTGAATGGTAAAATAAAATTATGTCCAGTATAATTTAAACTTTAAATTTATTTTAATGTATTCAATATTATTGTGATTTTATCAATTAAAATGATAAACTTAGCTAACTGTTATTCAGAACATTTATTAACCCATTTATCACCTTTTTTCTTTTGGAATTGGTAGTTTTTGGCCCTACCAGACACAGTGTACGACAATAAAGACAGCTTGGTTGGAAGTTCAGACCGTTTGCTTGAGAGTTAGGTAATGAGAGCTCAAGACTGGCTGTTACCAAATCCTTGTGGGAGAATTTCCTTGGGCAAGTCAAGTCACTTCTCTTGGGGCCCAGTTTCCTCATCTTTAAAATGAAAGTGCTCCAACTGGAGTACCAGACTTCATGGCAATCCAGAGTGAATACACTCTTCATGTTGAAATTACGATAAAAAGGCCAGAGACACAGTAATCTCAAAAAGCGCTTCACACTTTTGTTATTATGAAAGAATCAAAAAATGTTCTCAACAAACACTGAATGAATCCTTTCCATGTACTTCCTGCTGAATTAAGCTGATAGTTTCATTAATTACTGATGGCTCTTATTTGACTTGTGGGGAGGGTTACTAGGTAAAATACAGGACACCTAATGACATTCCGCTGTCCCATGTGATATTTGGGACATATGTTAGAAACATTACTCGTCTGAAATTCAGATATAACTGGGTATCCTGTATTTTCATTTGCTAAATCTGGCAATTTAGTGGGTCAGGAAGGGTGAGGAGAGGGGAGCAAAAGTGAATTGAAGGAAAGTAGACAGAAGCATTTTTGGAATTATCTAGCAGTGAATTTACTAAAAAGAGAAGGAGATGAAATAAATTAGTCAAGTAACATTTCCCAAAGTATATCCTATTGGACTAGCTCTGAGTGAAACTCTGTTAATAAAGGAGACTATTCCTTTATTTATAAATAAGTGAGATAAAGGAATACTTTATATTTTATCATCTTCTTAAGGAAAGTTACATTTCTTTTTTTAAAACAAGTTTTAATCCATAAACTCTTCAAGTTTTTTTTTTTTTTTAGGGGGAGGAGGAGGAGGTAATTAGGTTTTTATTTATTTATTTAAATGGAGGTACTGGGGACCTTGTGCATGCTAAGCACAAGCTATACCCTTCCCCCACCCAAAGGAAGTTACATTTCCTACTGTGAGGCTTCTCAGGGCATTTACAGGTGAAAGTAAATTGTGCATTTACATGAGGGAAATAGTCTGTGTTGAGCTGTCCACACTTGTTTGACCCGGACTCCTCCTTTGTGATCTTAGAATACCTATCAACTATCCAGAGTATTCCCCGAGCACACTTTGTGAACATCTAAGTTAATGATACCAAAACAGTGTGCTGCGTGGGTTAGTCATTCCAAACAGTTGAACACAGAGGCTTCTTCCTGATTGGGTGGACATGTGGGTCATTGTAGTCAATTATTCAAGGAGTAACTGTCCTGGGTTGCCCCAAACCACAGTTAATTGCCAGCTATGGTTACACAGCACAAATACATTCATTTAAATAACCAGTTCAGTATATACCAACAGTGTGGATTATAAAACACTGTAATTAGTTAATGTAGATGGTAGCAGCTGACCCAGTGTTAGAAAGCATTCTTAGTCTAAATTTGTCATCTGTAACTTGTTAGTGATACGTACTCAAACGGGTCCAGTGTTCGATTGCAAAGGAAACAGAAACCTGTGTGTACACCAAGCTTGTTTGTTGTTTGAAAAAGAATGTCACTATTTTGAAAGTTAATAATGTGCTATCATAGTTGATGAGGTATTTTTCATTTAAACACGTTATAAAATTCGTAACAATTTTTAGCCATTAATTTTATCAGTGAGCACACTGAACTACTATCATGTGGGATTCTACAGAAGTTTTATAGTTGGGCCTCATCTGTTAATAGGCTGGTAATCCTCTTTTGAGTAACTACAACTGTTCCCAAATAATTTGATGCAGTGATGTGACCACCACTAAGCCTTAAGAGTCAACTAACATTCCTTCCTTCTCCCAGCCTTAAAACCAACCAGAATCAAATGCTAATTGACAATGACAATGCTAAAAGGCAGGTCCACCGAATAAGTAGAGGAGGGAAAAAACAAGGACAATTGCAAATTCAGTAATCCATTTCTGAATAACGGAAAGAGTATTCTTAACAATTTGTCTAATGATAATAATAATAGCAGCAACATTTTTTACTGAATGTTGACTGTGTGGCTGACACTCTGTTCAGTGCTTTTGCAAGCTTTGTCTCATGTAATCCTCATGGCAACCCTATGAGGTACTGTTATCTCCACTGTACAGATGGGAAAGCTGAGGTTTGGAGAGGTTAAGTCATTGGTGCAAAATCAAATCCCTGGAAAGAGGAGTTCAAGGATTAAAATTCTAAAATTCTGAGCCTAAATCCAAACCCAGTTTCATAGCCACTATGCAATATTGCTGCAAAATGTAAGGACTTACTATGAGCAGACATCACTTGTGAGTGTATTTTCTGTGCTTTGCCAGAATAGACACAGACCCCACCATTAATTGGATGAAAAAGTTAGTAATTGAGTCCTCAGAACATGTGGTTAGAAGACTCAATACAAGGAACAAAAAGGCTACAGCCAAATTTAGGGAGATGGGAAAGTCAAGCCTTTCTAAAGGAAGAAATCATAGGGAACTTGATACCATTTATATATATATAAGATTGAAGCCTGAAAATACTTTATTTTGGGCACAGTGTGTTATAAAGAATGCTAATGTGATCTGAAATTTTCTGAAAAATCGTCCAGTATAAAAATGTGAAACTCTCAGTTCCTTTACAAATCAAAGTTTCTGAGCTGATCTCTTATAAAAGAAACCCAATAAGTTTCAGTTTTAGAAGGGTTGGGACCTTCATAATGCATAGGTCAGAGGATCTAAATTTTTTTATTTGGTGAGTAAACATAACTGGATCTCTAAGGCAAAACTTGGAATTAAAAGACTGTGTAGATATGAATTTCCAAATTTTTTTCAGAAAAATCTCTCTAAATATCAAACATTAACAGAGAGGAAAGGGTAGAAGTTTAAAATAAAAATTGCTTCAATTTTACAGTTAATATGGTAACATCTCACTATGGTAGCATGTTACTTTGGTGGTTCCCAGTGAACTATGCCTCTCATTATTTCTGCCTGGGGGCAGTCCCTCCTGGAGGAGGCTGGCCCTGTGACCTATGTTAACCAATAGAATATGGCTGAAGAGAAACTGTATCAGATCTGGGCTCAAGCCTCAAGAAGGCCTGGCAGCTTCTGCTTATATGATTTGGAGGAAGCTACTCACAGTGTAAGAAGTTGGACTGCCAGTCTTAAGAAGCCTAACCTAAACATGTGGAGAGAGGCCCTAAGGATTAATAGCCGAGCCCTAGAGAACAGCCTCAGCTGAGCAACCAGCCGACAGCCAGCGCCACTTGCCAGCCAGGTTAATGAAGCCATCTAGGAAGTGGATCCTCCAGCCCTAGCTGAACCACTCTAAAATGATGCCATGTGGAGCAGGTGTCCCCACAGAGCCCCACCTAAGTTGCAGAATTGGGAGCAAGTAAGTGAAATGGTGGTTGTTTTAAGCCTCCAAGTTTTTAAGTTAATTTTTCATGCAACAATACATAAACATAATTATACCAGTTCTTCTCCCCTCCCCCCAAAATTGTTTTGGAGGAGGCATTCACTCATTTGTTTATTGGTTTTATAAAATGGTCATAACTTTACCATCTTATACTCTTTCCCTCCCCACAACTGCATTAGAAGCATTCATTCTTTTAATAAATGTTTGCCAAGTACTCCTGTTGGGTGCTGTTGGGCCCTAGACACCCAAAGATAAGATGCAGAAAAGCACTTAGCCTAGCAGAGGAGATGGACACACTCACACTCATGATCTGTTTTGTACTGGAACATTGTGTGCCAACTACAATGGCAGCACTGAGAAGGGACTAACTCATTCTGCCTGTGGCTGCGAAGGGGTTCAGAATCTTCCAGAAAGTGTCCTAGAAGAATAGCATTTTGCGTTAAGCCTTGAAGGATAAAAGGAGTTCTCCCAGGTGAAGAAAGAAAGGTATGGAGGAGTCATTCTGTGCTGAAGGAAGAGCATTAGCAAAGTTCTGACAGTGTGAAAGAATACAATAGTTTTGAGTAACTAAATGTAGTCTTACGTGGCCATGGTGCAAGGTGAAGTAACAAAGGTTACCCAGCTGTCCAAGCAGACAGAAGAGAAGCCTTGGAGGCCATTCTAATCAATTTGACTTGAGGACAAGATAGAACCATCTGAACGACTTTAAAAAATTGTACTTACATGAAGTATAACTTACACACAGTACAATGTCCAACATCTTAAGCTCAGTGACTTTTAATATATGCAAATGCCTGTGTGACTCATACTTGAACCAAGATGAGGCTGTATAATTTGATAAAACCTGACAGGGACATCATGAGCATTAACCTATATATCCTGAACAAAATATTAGCAAATAAAAATATTAGCAAATCCAGTAACTTAACAAAGAATAATACTTCAAGATCAAGTGATCAGGAATGCAAGGTTGGTTTACCATTAAAAAAATCAATAATGTAAATCATGGCATTAGTAGAATAGAAAACCATATGATGAGCTCAATAGATGCACATAAAACAGTCGATAAAATTCAGAACCTATTCACGGTCAAAACTTTCATCCGAGTATTTGGAGCAAGGAAGAGACATGCCCAGATTGGTGCTGCTCTTTATGAAGCAGTCATCATTCTTGGTCTTGGAACAAGGAGCTACAGTATGACATTCTCTGGAGAGTTTCCAGAGATAGGGGAGAAAGCAAAATCCACAGACATCCAACTCTACTGCTGGAGGAAATGTGCCAAATGCTGACTCCAAGTGAGCCATAGATTAACTTCAGACCTCTTTAAGAGCTGTGCAGACAAGCAAGGACTCAGACAGAGTCCATTAAAAGTGTGATTGCTCTACACATGACAGGCAGCAGTGCTAATGAGTGTTGCTTGCATGTCTCTGAGCCTGGCTGCTCTGTGCTGAAACAGAAGTAAAACAAAATCAAGAGCTGAACAGCTTAGGCCTATGGTGATGGCTCATGGCAATAAGGGTAACAGGTGGAAACCTGAATCCTGGTTTTGTCTGCCACTGTCTAGCTGTGTGCCCTTTGGAAAGACAGGTTACCCCTCTGGGCTTGATTATGCATCCATGAAATAAGTGGATTAAAGAGTAGATGGGCTTCGGAATAAGTCAGACCTGGATTTCAATACTGGCTGTGTTCTTTACCATCTGTATGACCTCTGCCTTGGTGTAATGGAAAGAAACCTCAGTGTGTTTCCTTAAGGGTGAAATAAGATCATGTAAGTGGAGCACTTAACACATGCACTGCCTATGTTGGACACTAAATAAGGGTAGATGTTGTTAATGTTTTTGAGAATTAATTATTAGGTCTAAAATGCCATAATGATTTTAAACAGACTGGAAACACTTCTTTTCTTTTCCTGACGTGGAGATTGGTAGGTGTTGTGGAAAGCTTTGAAATTCTGCATATTCTGCCTGTCACAGGTGGTCTTGTAAGAGGCTTGATAACTTTAGCAGGAAGGAAAACAGAAGGGTAGATATTCTTTCATGATTTAATCTTGGTAATGTACCAGTGATTTCATTACCACGTGCAAAAAACTATGATGACATTTCTTATACTCTGATAAGTACTAAGTGAAAAATCTAATTAAATGATGCATTCATAGAACTTCCCATAGAATGTAATTAATGAAACAACCAGAGCCCCCTATTGATTATGCTGGTGAATTTAATCAAATCGTATGTTTATCTGAGTAATCCAACAGAGTCTGACGTCCACAGTCAGGCATGTGGTTTTTGCCAGTTGTAAATAAGAACCGGAAATTTAATGATCTGCATTTGCAACATAACATATTGTATCAAATAAATGACTTTTTTTCCCCAAAAGTCATCTTCATAATATCTGTCTGAGAGTTTGAACTATTCAGTTGGACCAAATATTCAAATTGGAAATATTCATGAGAGAGCTTTGGGTGATGTTACTTTTGGACCTCATCCCCATTGTACATCTGGCCCTTTCTTATTTATGGGCAGTCACAGCCCAAGTCTTGAAGAAGTTGTACTGACCATAGTTGAACTGCATTTTCTGTGGCCTTTTGAGCAGTGCTGGAAGCTTGGCTACCCCCACTGCCTGCTGCATTGCTTACCACTTGTAACAGCCTTGACCTTGTTACTACCACTTTGGGAAGTTGCCGTCACCATCGTGACCACAGTGCTGAGAGCAGGACTGTGGAGTCTTTTTCAAACTTCTTTCTATAGCTCTTTCTTATCTTTCTTGACTTGAGGTTGGGTTTGTGGGTAGGGAAGTCCCTAACTCTGTCCTGTACCCAGAGTCAAATGTGCTTTTACTCAGGACCTCTTTTTCTTCCAACTCATCAACCAGCTAAAGGAACAGGAGGGGCAGCTGTCACTTTTTAGAGGGCCCTGGGCTTCCGGCACTGCTGCAGTTGGTCCTCTGTGGATGTTCTGGAGGCACTAGCCATGCCATGCTAGTTGCTCTTGAAACAGAGAGCCCACACCAACAGCATTTGGAGCATAGAGAAAACCTCCTATTCAGTGAAAACATACAGGGCAGAAGTCAGCACCAAACCATGAACAGAAGTTGCAAACAGAATAATTAGGGCAGCGAATGCCCAGTCTAGAATAATGGTGGCCCTGAAAAGAAGGTGCTTTTCCGGCAGGCTGTGTGGCTTTGGAGTTGGACACCCCTGGATGTCCCGGCTCCACTGCTCACTAGCTGTGTGATTCTGGGTGTGTTAGACTTGCTGGGACTCTGCTTATTCCTCTCTAAAAAGGAGACCTGTGCTTGGAGTACACTGCCTGGCACATGGTAGCAGCACAATTGTGCGTCTGTTACATCAACATGTAAGCAGACTGCCTTGTGTGATAAAATGAATGCAATGATGATCTGAGTACAGCCTCACTAGAATGTCGCTTAGATCTCGACTTAGACGGGGGAGACCTTGCCGGAGAAATAGCTCAGCAATTTCCTAGCTATGTGACCTTGGGAAACCCCCAGCTCTCTAATTCTTAGAAATGTCTGGAATGGAGTTAACTTTACCCCCCTAGGGTCAGCATGAAGTTTAAATGCGTTACTGTGTGTAGAAGTGCTTTTAATAAATCTATAAATTCTAAGTAAGATGGGTTATTCTATAAATGTTTTTTTTTATGTTATTAAGTGTAGTGATTGTTTATAATATTTTTAAGGGGACTGGCCATGTTTCTGCACTTGAGATCCAATAGTAGGACTGTCATGAGTAGAAATGTTCAAAATGAGCCCCATGGTAGAAAATATCTGCTGATTACATGCTGTTAGTGATCTGGAGTTCTTGTTGGAACCAATATTAAAATCATCTGATTATCCCTGACCTCTAATAAAACCCTTCAGAACAAAAACGCAGATAATGTATCAAAATACACAAAATGGTTATATTTTCCTTTTAAGCATAAGCACACAGAAATGGTAAAGGGGAGAGGAATGATTAAGCTTTAAATGTAGTCATTTTATAGCTCATCACAAACCACAAATGCAGACTAAAATCAGGAGGCCATATTGGCTCTTATATGTATGTACTTTTTCTACAAGCATTTTTTTTAACCTTTTAAGGGAAATTTTCACACCCAGAGGAATAAGCAAATTACATAGTGTTTTTTTTTCCTTGTAAAATGTCTAAAATAAATGTCTAGGTCTTTTTCAAACAGTTGTAATTTTCTATTTTGTTCTAAACAAGTTTCCCACTTGACAAATACTTAGATACTCAACTGTCCCTTGATAAAGACTTAAGATTATTTACTGCAGCCTTGGAAATAGCAGTTGGCTTAGTCAATTCTGGGAAAACAGAAATAATGTAAAGATGCTATGGTTCCTGGTCCACTTGTAACAATTTTGTCCCCTTCCTGGGTTGGTCCTGGCTTCCTAAACATCACCTGTACACTACAGTGCTATGATTCTGCTGCTTTACCTCTTCAGAGCAATTTCACTTAAACTCTCCACTGGTTTCAGTGCACTTAAACAAATAATGTCATTCCTAATCTAGAGTTAGACCATCATAAATAATTAGCAGCTGTATCGTTAGCACTGGAAGTCCATTTTCTAATGTCTCAATAAAGTCTTGATTGTAATGCAGACCATGGCTCCAGATGTGATGGCAGAAGTCTCCTAGGAAGTATTGCAAATATATGTAATTTCCAGCCAGAGCAATCTGCATAAACAAGCAATCACATAAACCACACCATTTGGTTTGACCTAAAGTTATGGCAGAAATGTCCTCAGGGTTGTTCACTGGTGTACTGTTTTCGTTCCACTGTGCTCCATGCAGAAAACCCAAATGGCTCAGCAAATATTGACCAAATTATAATTTTGACATCAGTAATCTTTTTCTTCAGAGACTTGATTGAGGTTTGCATCTTGCTCCCAATTTCATAAGATGAAAATGAATAAAGAAGTTTAATCAGCAGATAATCCGAATACAATAAAAAAAGTTCCCA